TTCAACCTAACACTGACCTGTGATAATAAATATGAGGCTGTGTGGATCTGAGGATGGGCCTGAGGGTCCTGTTATGTTAAAATAAAGAAATACTTAATTTTTTTTGGAAAGTAGGCGTCAGTAACCCACAAGTTACTTTCACATATTGTTAAATGACTTTATGATGCTTTTTTAAAAAATATGCTGATTTCCAATTGCAGTGGCTCTGTGATCTGCAAAGTAATCTGCAATAGCTTGAGACTCTTTGGATTAGAATGCATTGGCAGCTGCAGTCTGTGTTCTGTAAACAGCTGCCCTTACCCACATGAGTTAAACACATCATATTTATTTATATTACTATGTGTGTATTTTGAAGCCTCAGAGTTGTAAGTCTGCAAGCATTTTGCTTTCATTCCTCTTGGATCTGAGGTATTTTCATGGATTTTTATTCTGCCCTGTTCCTTTCTTGTCTGTGCCAGGTATAGTAGAACTGCTGTTCACCTATTCTGAGTTAACTGAAGAAGTGGAGAAAGAATGTGTATTTATGTACACAGAAGGAAGAGATTTCTGTGGGAAGAGATTTTTAGCAACTCTGATAAATAAAACAAAGTATTATTGAATTAAAGATTACCCAGTATTTTCGGGGTCCTTTGTTCTATCTTTTATTAAGAAAGTTGGTTTTTTTTGGGTTTTTTTGTTTTTTTTTTTTTTAATTTTGTAACCCATTAGGGAGTACTCCTACATAAACGTAAGATGACATCTGCAGCGTAATTGCATTTTTTGCACTGTTACTGCTGGGTAACTTCGAATTGCACTTGTGAAACAGAAAATGGTGATGTTGATTCAGTGGGGGTCTTTCGATTTTGTTTTTTTTTTTTAGCTATTTTTTGTTTGTTTGTTTCAAGCAGAGTTAGTGTGACAGTAGCCTGGAAACTGTGAGAGTCATTGATCTGTGAAGGTTGGCTGTTTTGTGCTTAAGTGAAATGATTTTGAAGTTTTTTGTAAGTCTTAAATCAGCCTTAACTATGTAGAAGTCACTAACATGGCAGCAAGTATCTTCAGGCACATCTGATCATTTTTTGTCTTCTCACTCTGATTTTTTTACATACTTAGGAAATTATAGTGGTCATGGCTGCAGTGCCCTGTTGGATCACAGATAAGGTGTTAGCAATCTTCTTAAAGAAAAGAAAAATTACAGACAAACTTATGAATTTTAAAATCTCTTGGGTAACTTAATGGCTCTAAAGAGACTAAGTAGAAGCAGGAAGTGGAAAGTTAAGGTAGTTTTGGTAACTGGCTTCTGTTATACAATGGACTCTTTAATAGTTGGCAGTTTCAAGTGATTAATGAATAACTGAACAGGAATACCTGTGTGAGCTGGAAGTGGGTAGAAGGCAAGGGAATAGGAGAAAGTGAATAAATGCCATAGAAGCTGGTGGGAAAGAAATGACCTAATGAACATGGATTTTAAATAACTTATTCTTAAAGTGGAAACAGGATCTTCGTCTCAGCTCTGTACTTTGCCATACCTGGGTGGAAAGTCTGAGCTTTCAAAGTTAATATGGAAACAAGTGTTTGGTATAAACTTTATTCTAATTTCCCTTTTTGCTTGTCTTGCAAAACTAGTTTTTAGCTGAAAGTTTCTAGGTCAGGTCTGACGAAAAATGCTTTTGTGCTGTGTTTATATAAATAAACATGACAGTTGTAAACAGTTTTTTGATCTTTAAGTCATTGTAGATTTAAATTTTTGTCTTGCAAGCTATTCATAGCTTAAAGCTATTCTAGTGTGATTGCTGTCAGATAAAAATAATCTCCTGCTTTGTAAGTCTTACCCCCTGCTGCTTAGCAACTTTAATGAAATAAGTATTTCTTTGAGTTAGAGAGTTTATAAAGCTGTAGGACTGGCAGGAAGATGGATGAAGCAAAAATACTTGGTATTGTATTTGTGAGAAAACTAATACTGTTCAAGAGCATTAAATAGTAGAATGAGTTGCGCTTCTGCATGGTGGTGTTTGATCTTCAGTCAAGTGTTTTGAGACTGCTAGGAATTGGAATAAATGAACAGTTTTAAAAACCATGTCCCTGTCTTGTTCTGTGTGCTGTGATGAGCAGTGGACAGGTTACATTCAGGGAGAGGGTGGGATCAGGATGACAATTCCCCCAGTGAACACTGACTTCATCCTGGTCCACGTGTGCTTTAGATTTGTTGCTGTCTGTCAAACTTCATTATTGTTCCTGTTTTTCAAAGAAGTTTTGAAATTTTTTTAAAACTTCTGCCTTCCCATTAAAACAATTGAGTGGAAAAACAGAAAAGAAATTGGCTAATGACTCCTAACCTGTGAGCTAGCTTGGTTTGTCATCTTTTAGCCCTTGTTTCCTTTACAAATAGTGCATTATTCTATTTTGCCATTCCACTTCTCCATAAATTATTAATCTCCACCCCTTTGTTTCTCTTTTGTGCATCTTTTCTAGTTATGCTATATACCAATTAAAGTAGGTGTCAAGAGGGTGTTTGGATTATCAAAGATTAGTGTCTCCCATTCAGTTCCAGTTATTCCAGGAAGATTGCGTTAATTTAAGGATGATTTAGTTAGACTGTTGTGTGCTAAAGTGAGATTCTGTGTTCCTCAAAGTTCCTTTGATTCTGATGTCTTCGCATTAGGTGTCAAAACCAGCCCATTTATCTACCAGAACAATCTGGAAAGATCAGTTTAATGGATTGAAAAAAAATCCCTTTCCTAACTCTGTTAATAGATGTACAGTTTATGTGTGTGGAAATATAGTGTTCCTTCTCTAGAGGATCACCTGTTGTGAACTCTGAGCCTGGGGGGCGGAAGGAAAATAAGATGGTAACAGGATTTATTCTCATGACTTCGCTGTCATCCAGCCCACCAAAACAAGCAGCTCCATTTATGAAGGATGTAATCTTTTTGAACTGGTTTTCATTATTAGTTGGTTGCAAACTTTTGGGTGGTTGTGCAGTCTCCATCCTTGGAAGCTTTTGAGACACGCTTGAATAGAACCCTGAGCAGCTTGACCTGACTTCATAACTGAACCCGCTTGCAGCAGGAGGTTGGACTAGAGACTCGTGGTCATTCTTGACCTGACTTACCTTACCAGAGAGCCTGCATTTTCATGCAACCCTCAGCCTGTGGCCATCCATGTTAACTGCTGGAGCAGAGGAGTTTACATCTGGTAGTTGGTGCTGGGCGGGAGTGGTGTAGTCATTGAAAAATAGTAATTTTTAAAAGAAATTCAGCTTTCATTGCTAAAAAAAGGGAACAAGCATCAGCACTTTAATTGTTTGCATAATAATATGAAATATACTTTCTATGAGTATAAAGAAGTGTAAATTTATTGTGCCTGTGAGTTGCTGCTGTAGTTTTTTAGTTTGCGTATGTATTGTCTGACTTCAGAAATTATTATGTAGAGACTGATTGGAAATAGAATGTAGGAGTCATATCTTCCCTCTCAAGCAAATATTGTACTTTATTGTGTGTGTTATTTGGCAAAAAATGTCTGGTGCCAACCAAAATCTTAATTACAGAATGGCATTATAGGAGTAGCTGATACCTGCAAGGTATCAGCTCTAGAGTAGAAGGCTGATTAGATAACTTCTCAAATGCCTTTCCAAACTCATATTTATGGTGTTTTAAATAAATATATGGGACTTATTTCAGTAATTACCTTAGAGATTCAGGGCTTTTGTAGACTTTTCATAGGTACTGGTCATCTGTAGAATACAGCTCTTGAAAATAGCTAAGTACAAAATTGAAACAAATGTTTTCACATTTTTGGAAATCTGTAATCGATGGCATTAGTTAGAGACTGGTTTGTAAATTTAGTGGACTTAAAATATCTTTATATGTTGGCAGCTTTCATCTGCAAAAAATAATAAAATTGACTTGCTTTTGTTTTAAGCCAGTCTTGGTTATTGGTTAAGACAAATTTATGAAAAGCAGAGCACTCTTCTGCTCTTCCCCTACCTTGTCTTGTGTACAGCATCTTTCTCTAAAGTATCCTGAAATTGGTGTTTTTTTAGAAGTGCTTCACTAGAGGGACTTTGGAAAGATCTTTGTGAATCATATCAAACATTTCTCAGTGATTTTACTTTTATCTTAGATACTCAAATATTAAAAAAATATGCAAGAACATTGTTGACTACTCCATATAAGATAATTTTTTGTAAGATTTTTTTTTTTGTCATAACTGTTGAACAATGGAGTACAAAGTCAATAGTTGTGTTTCTAGATACTGATGAATAAATGTATTGGGTCAAGTGGTCTCTTCTGCCATTTAAGCAGACAGCTGTCAATGCAGAAGTAGAGAGAAACCACAGTAGGTGAGCTGTGCTTTGTGGAATAAATGTGTTTTGTAGTTTTGCAGTTTGTATAAGAACTATGCTTCAAGCTGTAAAAGCACATGTTTTCAAAGGATTTAAATGACAAAATGATAGCTGTTATAAATATTTCTTTGAAAGCTTTTTTCTTTTAGTTTTCTATGTTCAAGCCAAAAGAATGGGTTCTGTGATTTTGTTGATGGCCACATTTGTGTTTTCTGGCATACTCCATAGTTAACTTAATATCCATTTTTAGTTTATTATTGCTTTCCTCAGTGCCACATTGTTTATGTATGTAAAATCATATTAATGTTTATCAGTCACTCATAAGGCCATGTGATGTCAGTAATGCCAAATGCTTAATGTCCTAAAAATATTGTAAGTTTGTTTTGACTGTATAAAACTATACTTTATACCTCACAGTTCTTGGTATTGCCCTGTTTCATTCTGTATCATTTTCCTGAGGATTCCCAATTCTTCACAAGGCAGAGACTGAGTGTCAAAACTAACAGAGGATGAGACTGTTCCTCTTTCATGTTTTCAGGGCAGGAATGGTAGTGACTAGTGATGCTACTTCAAAAGTGTGAAAGCAGGAGAACTGCTTAGAGAACACAGCAAGGCCCTTTTTCTGCTCGCTTTCAGGTGGAGATGGGGATATCTTACTGTCTTTCATTCTTCACAGGGTTACACATCGTTCTGGAACGATTGCATCTCCTCGGGATTGCGCGGCTGTATGTTAATTGAATTGGCATTGCGGGGGCGTCTCCAGCTGGAGGCCTGTGGAATGAGGCGCAAAAGTCTGCTAACAAGAAAGGTGAGTGCAGGAAAATGGTCACATTTACTTGTCAGGCTTCACAAAATACAGGAGCTATAAATTACGACTGGTTCTAATAAAAAGCCTCAGGGTTTTTTTCTTTATGTGAACATGATGATTCTGAGTAATGACCTAAGGCAGATGTGCAGAGATAAAAGGTGTCTTGGTGGTGAGATGAAGTGCCTTGGAACATCTCTGGTACCTGTTCTGTGCCCGTGTTTGCTCTGGGGATGTGTTGCTGGTGCTGCTGCCAGCCGTTGGCTCTGGCTGGGGCGCGGCGGCAGCCGTTAGTCTGCCGAAGGAACCGGCTTTTGCAATGCCGGTGGGATGTGGGCTGGGGCTGAAAGGAATGGATAACTGCCGAATGCCAGATGTGTCCTGCAGGCCACCAGTTCACTTCTGCTCTACACAACGCTGCAGTTTGTGCTTGCATTGCATGGGAAGGAAACTGTCGTTGTTCTTGGGACCCCTGAGAACATGCATCTAGTTCAAGCATGAGGCTGGTGTGTTAAATTGTGCTCTCTGACCTTCAAGATGACCACATCTCTATGGTCCTTTATAGAATTGGGCCGAAGATTTGAGGCCTTTATGTTTTTTACTTTTACCACTGAATTTTCCCTTTGTACAAAATGTGCAAAGTCACGCTCTTGGAAGAATTTTTACTTCATCAGCATTAGAGGATACTTGTAAAATAAGCCTATTGAAAACCTGGTCAAATGTTGTCTGTCCACCACAAATAAATTCTCTTATGGCACATTTCTATGTCAATATTATCTTTTGCTAAATTTTAAGGCAAGCTTGTGAATTCCCTAACCTTCTCCCAGCTCCCTTCACTTCAGAAAAATTGAACCTCTGTTCTGACAAACAGTCCCTACTTCTTTTAGCTCGTTTAAGCATATTCAGCATTGATTAGTTTGCACATTTTTTTTTTCTCCAGAGCTTTTGGCTTCTTAGGCATTCAGTAATCTTCTTAGGCATTCAGTCAGGAGTTATTTTCATTCTGTGAAAACCTTGTCAGTTCTATCTACTTGAAATATCAACTGTGAGGTTGCTAGGTTTTTTAGGAAAATGGAAAAATAACCTGTATGTATATTCACTAAAGAATACAAGCAAAATTATTGGTCTGAGTTGTGATTGGTTTTTGTTTGATTGTGGTTGCGTGTTTTTTGCTAAATTTTATCATGTGGTTTTGGCATTGGGTAGATGTATTTGTTTAAAGTGATCTAAAATCTATGCAATCTGGAGGTTTTCTTTTTCTGCTGTTGTAAAGTATTTGAGATTCTTCTCAGTTTTCAGGCAGGAAGGTTCTATAAAAATAGGCATTAATTTAAAATTTAGATGAAGGTTGTTTTCTGCTTAAGTACTTCCCTGCAAATAAAATCCCTAAACGCACCACCTCCGTCAATTTAGAAATCAGTCTTGTGAATGACTTACGTTGTTTTGCACCTTATTTGAAGCTTTCCATTTACACTAAATTTCAGTTTTGTTTCTGTGTTGGCCACATTTAAGTCTTTACTCTGTCAAGTGTCCTCCTTGTCCTGCTTCTGCAGGCTTTGCTCCCCATGCCCTTAGCTTTGGCTGTGAAATAAATACTGTGCCTAATAAGTGGAAAGAGCTGTCTAATAACGCATCCAAGGTTGTAATTCAGGGGAGAAATAATTTATTGTGATCAGTTCAGTTTTTACTGGAACCACTCTCTTGATCATGTCATCAGGTGGGGCACAAGTGATAAGGTGAGGATGAGAAGAGGGTAGAAAAAGTTTTTTGGGCAGTAGCACAGATTTATAACCAGCTAACTGTGGCTTTAATCATATAATTAACTTGAAAGAATGATAGCTACAAAGATTTCCACTTAAAGCCTTAAATCAGGTTGATCTCTGCTGATAATATTTAGTACTTCAGAATGGATCAAGGTGCATTAAATCTATGATTGAATGCCATAGTCAAATGAGACTGAGAAAAGAGTGGACAAGGACTTGATGGACCTTAATGAGACTTTGTAAGTGGATGTGTTACACATTGCAACATCCTTGTAAATTTGGCTTAAGGGTATGTAATTGTCACACCATTTTGGAGTTCTGCCTACTGGGATCAGTATTAAAAACAAATAAATGTTGAGGTTTGTCAGTGGTTATTGAGAATAGAAGATGTACTATACATTGCTATACAGGATCAGAGAGCAAAGCAAATCGATAGAGTTACTAGAACCAAAAGGAATCCTAAAAATCCTTGGCAGATTTGCTTCAGTATTTTATTGCCATCAATTCTGAGCAATTCATGCAAGAGTGAATTTTGGTATTAAAACTAGAAAATGAAGTTTACTTAAAAATCTGTGCTTAATCTTTTAGCTTTGCTTAATTGCAGAGCTGCATTGTGAAAAATGCAAATTAAATATTCTGTATAATTGGAATTTCCTTAGTTGATAAGTACCAGGCAAATCTAGTACCTGATTCATCACTGAAAAATTGGAATAAAGAATATTTTTTTACAATCAGGCTAAGGACCAGCATCTCTGAAGAAACAGGATGTTCCCTGAACTATGGAACAGTATGACATTTCCAGAACACCTTTCTGACTACTCTGAAGTGTTAAGAAAAATAAGAGCTTTTGCTTCCTGTTTTTCATATCTGTGTGTGTGTGTGTGTATATATATATATATATATATATGGAATAGTGATTGACAAAAAAAGTTGTTTTCCCTGATGCTTGTAAAGTGCTAGCTTGTAAACTATTTAAATTGCCAGATAAAATAGTAACAACAGCAACAACTATTATTATAACAACTGTACTAATTATTCTGTAAATAAAGAATTATTTTATTTAAACGCACTGACTTGATGTAGTTTAATCTGGAAGTTTTCATTTGGTGCTCTTGATTTTCTCTTCTGAAAAAAAATTGTATTTGTGCATGGTTTCTATAACTACTTGTACTGGTAAACAAGCAGTTACTCATAGTTTTTAATTTTACTATGTTATTACTCTAAGTAAATTTTTTTGTTGTGTTTTCCTCAGTGAAGAACTCAGTTTTAGAAGTTATTAAATAAGAGACTTATATTGTATTGCATTTATTGTTGCATGTTAAGGGGTTTATTAGTACGTGGTGTTTTCCCTAGTACGTGTGGTTTAACTGTTATTAAATGAAACTCTGTTAGGTGGCAGTGTGTTCTTCAGAGCTGCAAAATTTGCAGGTGTTGTCATGAACCTATTTTACCTGTACATATATTGAAGAAAACTAGTTTTTGTACTTTTTTTTTGTTATTATTTTCATGCAACCTTATTGTTTAACTCAGTATTTTGAATAAATTGACTTGAAGCAGTAAAATAGACTGTATTCAGAAACTAATTTAGTGCAATGTACTTTGTATTGGGGAGGTAGCAAGGGACCTAGCTAGATAAGTGAGTTATTTTCCTTCAAAATGCAGCTTTTAAGTTTGTTATTAATACTATAATTTTAGCCCATTAAGGTTAATTTAAGTTACAGATAACCTCAGACTTAACGTATTTTGAATTAAAACACATGTAGTTTGGGGTTTTTTTAATAACAAAGGTTTAGGTTTTTCAAAGTTGCATATTCTTAAGAGAGAGTTTGTTATTTCAAAAAAATATATTTTGGTTTTCCTAACAGGTAGGTTTTTTATTGATGGGTGTGTTTGTCATGTATGAATTATGTCAAAATACTGACTGTATTTTATTCGTTCTTAGGTGATTTGCAAGTCAGATGCTCCTACAGGGGATGTTCTGCTTGATGAAGCTCTGAAACACATAAAAGAGACCCAGCCTCCTGAAACAGTACAAAATTGGATTGAACTGCTTAGTGGTAAGCCTTGCACATAACGTATTTGCTTTCTTTACCCAAATAAAGCTAATTATCTGGCATCACTAGAGATTATATTGCAAGGTTTTTTGAGAGAAAATATGCAAAAAAGTTAATTAGTCTGTCCTCTAGGGTAGTCTCTTGTTGATTGTAGCCTTTAATCAAATATAAGTAACTGTTGCTTTTGACTTAACTTGGTACAGAAGGGATCTGTATGGAAGTGTCAGAGGACATCTCAGCTCGGTGGAAGAGGTGCCTTCCGCTGGCTCTGAAGTAAATCAGGACTGCACCCTGGAGATGTAGCTGCCTTTCTCTGTGTTTGGAAATGATGGCTGATGGAAGTTGGGAGCCTGAGTGTGTGCACTGAGTATTCAGATCTTTCAATGAAGAAAGGAAGTGAAGAGCTCATAGCTTGCACACAAAACTTGAGGGTGATTTGGCCATTAATCATAAAGAAAAAATAAAGCATTAGGAGTTTTATTTTTTCATTAGCTGAAGAAATGTAATAAATATTTTTGAATGTTAGATACGTCTTGTTGATCAAAACAAAGTCTTCAAAATGAGTACTTTGCACACAGCTTTCCCTGTAAAGCTAGTAAATAGTTGAGGAAAAATGAAATGTCAGTGATCATAGAATTATGAATAGATTTGGTTGGAAGGAACTTTTACAGGCCATCCAGTCCAGCCCTTCTGCAGTCAGCGGGGACACCTTCCACTAGACCAGGTTACTCAGAGGACCATCCATCCTGACATTGGATGCTTCCAGGGACGAGGCACCTACCACCTCTCTGGGCAATCCATTCTGGTGTCTCATTTTGAAAAACTTCTTCCTTGTATCTAATCTCAGCCAACTCTCCTTCACTTTGAAATTGTTACTCGTGTCCCAGGCTCTGCTAAAATGTCTGACCCCATCTTTTGTGCAGTCCCCCTTTAAGCCCAGAAAGGCTGCAGCAAGATTTCCTTAGAGCCTTCTCCTCTCCAGGCTGAACTGCAGACAGAATTGATCACCAGCGTTTGTCTGTTTTCACAAAGCACATAAATGCAGCTTCCTTGGAGGAGATCAGAGCTGTACTTCAGTTGTGCAAACAGCGCAGGGAAAAACCCTGCACCGTTGACCCTCATCGTCAACAATGTGACTGTGAAGTTGGGAGTAGTGAGATTTGGAAGTTGCCTGTGTAAAATCTGCTACTTCTTAAAACCAATAAGCTGCAGAAATGAGCAAAATCTCTTTGCCTTTCTCTGCTTTCCTGTTTTCTTTGTTCTTCCCATTCATTCTGCACCACCTTAAACAGCATTCCTTGCACACCAGTTCATTCTCAGGTCCTTGCCATCCCCCGTCTCCTGCTCTTTGGCTGTCAGGCAGAGGGGAGACTGGACTACATGTCAGGAGGGGCATGGCTGCTGTGGAGCCATGCAGTTCAGTTCTCAGCTCCCCTTCCCTCTTACAGCCAGCAAAAACAATTCATTTTTCTTGTCCCAAATACGTAATTTGTGCTGACATTTCACCTCCTTTCCCAGTGCAATGCACATCAAGTTAGGACTGGCTCAAAAAAGGTCAGCTAATGAATGAACTAGGTTTTCTTTGAGCTAAGCTAAGGTTTTCCTGACCCTGCTGAGCTTTGGCTCTGGGAAGATGGTTATCATCAGTGCTGTGGCTAAGGCTTGAATCAATAATTTTTACTAACATATGTTTATTAATTACTAATTCTTGGATGGCATTAGTGTTCTTTGGTTCCCATGGGTTAGAGATCTGTCATTCTGAAGAAAAGTATTTCAATGGGCCTGGGCAGGGGTTTTTATTTTTATTGTTTGGTTGGTTTTGCTTTATTTTGCTTTATTTAATAAATTTATAAACTCTCTTAGAATTTTGCCTTGGAGACCAGGTTGATCCTGGAAAAAAATCTACTCTATCCATGATTATCACTGATGCAGAGTGCTGCTTGGAGTTACAGTACATGTGAGTTCAAAGCCATCATGTAAATAAATATGTGGACATGCAAGGTGATGTTTGCCAGGCTGATGTTTATAAGGTAGCTTCTAAAGAAAGCAAATGCAGGGAATATAGATATTTGCACCAAAATGTGAAGTTTCCTGGAGATGTAGCAAACATCTCTGTCCGTGTCTGCAAAGTGTCTGTGCAATTGAAGAGCTTGGTCACAAGGTGTCATCACAGCACTGACTTTCAGCCACATGGCAACGGCACAAAAATCTAGGAAATAGCCTTTGCCCTGTGAAGGGTGGTAAGGAAACCACTTTTTTGTGTTTGTGTGATAGTTTCATTTATGATCAAACTGGGGAATAGCATTCATTGATGTGTAGTTGGACTTCTGTAGTTCAGGCCTTGGTTGGGTTTTCTGCCTTTCACTCTGCAGTTGGAGTCACCTCCTTTGTTTGCTTATCTTGGCTGTTACTTGGATGCAGTGTGTGTCACCCTCCATCACAGTGGGAGAAACCTCAAAGTCACCTGTGGCTTACTGTCATTGTTGCTATTATTTTATGCTAACCAATAAATTTTTCAAAAGTTTTGTACAGAAATTCTCATCTAATTTATGGAAAACCTCCATCTATGTAAGAAATACTTAAAGTTGTTCTTTTTCTTGCCCCTTAAAATGCATAGTTTTTTACATCAGGAGGGGATTATGATAAATTCCTAAGTAAGCTGGAATTAAAATTTTTAGCCTGTTAAATAAGCTCTTAAGCAAAGGTAGAATTCTCAATGATAAACAGTTTTAGTTGGAGCTGTTGATGCTGATTTTGTGCTTTGTCAGTTCCTCTGTGCGTATAGTCACAGGCTCTGAAGGGCCCAGTTCTTCTGCCTTAACAAAAGGCATTAGAAATATTTTATATAGAAGCACTAAAGACTCTGTCTAATATGTGGATCATGTGAGCACACCTGTGTCACACACACTCTCACAGTGCATGGTCACTGTTTTCATATGGTGGAAGCAGGAGGGGGGAGAGGAGTGGAAACCTGCAGAAATAAAGAAAGGGACTGGGTAACTGTGCATTAGCTTGTCTCTGTGACAGAAGAAAGGCAGTAACTCTTCTCCTGGTCACTGACATGGTAAAAGGCTGTAGAAGGTGCTTAATTTTACTTCATTTTTATTGTTACATGAAGTAAATTAATTCTGCATAACTGGTTGTTTTTTTATTTTACAATACAAGATTGTTTATTTTTCATATCTGTAATCAAGACATGGCTTAGCTATCGTTTCATCCAAACTGTCAGGGTACCCCAGAGCTGCTCCAAGGAGGTTCTCCTGGTCTCTGCCTCCATGCCAGGGATCAGAGAAATGCTGACAGGAGCACAGTGTCTTGTAGTCTGCTATATGATTTTGACAGCTCATTCTGCACCACAGAGTGGAAAAAAAAATCACTGCAGCAGTGCAGCTTAAACTTTGTCTAAGTGTTGTGTGGTTTTCTTGCTGTTGTAGGTGAAACATGGAACCCACTGAAGTTGCACTACCAACTACGAAATGTCCGTGAGCGGTTAGCTAAAAATCTTGTGGAAAAAGGTGTACTGACAACAGAGAAACAGAACTTCCTGCTTTTTGACATGACTACACACCCTCTCACTAACAACAACATCAAACAGCGCCTCATCAAGAAGGTTCAGGAGGCAGTTCTTGACAAGTGGGTGAACGACCCTCACCGCATGGACAAGCGCTTGCTGGCGCTCGTGTATTTAGCCCACGCCTCAGATGTCCTGGAGAACGCTTTTGCCCCCCTCCTGGATGAGCAGTATGATTTAGCCACAAAGAGAGTGCGGCAGCTTCTAGATTTAGACCCTGAGGTTGAATGTATGAAAACCAACACCAATGAGGTTCTGTGGGCTGTTGTAGCAGCTTTCACAAAGTAACTGCGTTCAGACTGAAGTGTTCTCTCTTCTTTCATGTAAACCAGTTTTTTCTCTTTTTTTGACTATTCATGTTTTCTGTAATTTGTACCTTCTCACATGATGAATTGGTTTTTGTTTAATGGGAATTATAAGTGGTGTATTCCCTACTTCTCTATCTGTGTACAGGATTCTGCTGGTACAAGAGGCTTTCCTGTTTAAAACAACAGAAGAAGGGTGAACTGCCATATTGGCATTCCATTTCCTATTCGAGTTACCTTAAATACTTTGTTTAATTTTTCACCTCATTGTTATTGAAGTGGTTTGTCACCAAAGCTCCATGTTGAAGTGTCTGTCAGGACATTTTATACACAGATATTTTCAATTGCATATAACAAAATTACTTATAAAGCAGAAATGCCATTAAGCAGCTTTGTCAATAGTTCCTGTAAAATGCCCCATAAATTTTAATTTTCATGCAGGTCTCTTGTGTACTTATATTTTCATTAGAATGATAGCTGAGTCATAAGGCTAGTATAGAAAGGTCCAGTTGTTTCATAAACCTGTTTTGGGAGGGGATACATTCCATTATATTGTGTATATATAGTTCAAATTGTATATTAACAACGGCCCCATCTTAGTATTTTGCAAGATCTAATTACTTGTACACCTGGTGCCCCTTATTTGCTGTCAGCCATTGCCATCTGATGCAAAGAAAGGCCTCCTGCAGAGGTCCTGTGTGTGAAAGTTGTTTGTTTCCAGAGTCTCTGGAGTTTGCCATCCAGGTATTCTCAGTCTATGCATTGCCTTTGAAAATTAGTGAATGGAAAGAGACTGCTTTCTATCATTGGTACGTTTTTCTTTCCCTCCACTTCTGTATGGAAAAGACTCATGACCAGTACAATTCTTGAGTGCAGTTTTTGGTTTTGTATACAAATTAATGTTTGTCTCTTAAACCTTGAACTGTTTTACACTTCAAAAACAAAAAGTCAGTCCTAGCAGGTGTTGCATGTAAATGGTTAGCAAGTAATGGCAGCAGTTCAGAGAATTCAGATTTCTGTAATGGGATGCTCTGCTATATTTTAATTTTTATATATACAATTATGCTGATTAGCACACTATTGTAAAAAAACCCAAAACCTATATAAAACCCTGGCTTTTTAAAATTTATTGCCTCTTTGCCGCTGCTTGTTATTTCCCATTGGTTTCACAGTGTAAATATTATGCATTGAAAAAATTAAGTATTGATTTCTATACTTTTTTCATCATACCAATGCAGATTTATAGTGGGGCTTACAGGTGTTTAGAAACCTTTTGGTTAATATTCAGACCAAGAATACTAGATGGTGTATAACTGTAGAGTTGAAATTTAAGAGATCCCTTAATCTGTATACTAGCTTTTTACCTACAGTAAATAAACTATGATCTTGAAAGTGCCTGAAACAGAGTAAGCATGTCACTTATACTTTTTTGTTGCTAATTAGAAAAGTTTTATTGCCTAAATGAAAGCTTTAGTTTATATCCTTCTTATTAGAAAGGGAGAATTTATATTCTGTAGTTCAAACTGACTTAATCGGTGTTGCTCAGATCTGCAGGATTCATGGCTGGGACAGGCTGAATTAATTTGGGGAGTGTGCAACTGTGCCTGCCCTAGGTAAACCTCTTCAGTCTTGAGCACAGTTCTACAGCCTCATCTGTGAACTGGACTTCCAATTTTGCACTTCATTTTCAATCACTGAGATGCTTAAGTAGTTGACTTTAAAATACAACTTAAATTCATCATACCTCTATAACCTTTTTTACGAAAGGTTTTTGAAAATACAGTCCTTGACATTTAATGACACACTGTTCTTTCAGTTCTTAATGCTATTTCTTTAGCAAATGAAATTAAAAGTATATTGTAAAGTATTTCAAACTCTGGTTTACAAATAAAAAGACAAACAGTGTTCTCTCACTTGCAAAATGCTGTGTTGAAAACTTTGAGTGGCTTGGGCGTGAACCTGGGACATTGTCTTTTAAACATTTCAAGCTGTGATTGCTTTTAAGTGGGAGGAAAATGAAAATTGCTGTGTTGCTCTTATATTTGACAGCTTCTGGAATACTTTCTGTATACTTGGTAGTAGATGCAGCTCACAGCTTTCATTGTCTCTCTCGTGTGATCTGTTTTCTCATTTTCTGTTGCTCTTTGAGAGGAGGAAAAAGTAATTAGGGGGAAAGGTCAGAAAAATGGTGGAGTATGCAGGAGCAAGTTATGTGCACAAAACTTTTAAAATGGCTTTGAAAATCTAAGCTACTTGAAGCATGCTTCAGACTGAAAGTATCTTTCACTGTCCTTTTTCTGGCCTCTTCTTCATTCTGTGAGTATCTTCCATTTTCCTGCTGGTTTCATGTTTAGTTGTGGGGGATATTGGAATTTTATCATTGTTATGGTCTACATGGTTTAGAAGAAGTCATCCTTTTTTAATCCTCCCCTTGAAACATGATTTGGGGTTTTCCCACACAGAGGATAACTGCACACAGTATTTATCAGCTTTATTTTGCTTAGATAGGACCTCTGACCACGATGGGGAGAGTCTGTGCTGGACATGTCCAAGAAATTGGATGTAAGTGAGGAAGGGTTTGGGAAGAACAACAGTGTCTTTTGCTGGACCACCTGGTGTAAACCTGGATGTGCAGGGGAAATAGATGAGCTTTTGGTGTCCTGAGTCCTAAAATTGTGCTTCAAAAAGCCCAAAACCTCCAGGAAGGTAAGTTTGGTAGGTTAACAGGAACTGATTTGGCTGACATTATTGCCTTTGTTGCTACTTCAGGTTTTAAAAAAATGGTTAAACATGGGAGACTGTGTTGATGAGATTCAGGTACCATTCTACCTGTGGGCTGCTACTGCAGCTCATGGAGACCTACCTGGTTTCCAGACAGTTCTGTCTCCTCCAAACCCTTGGCTCTCAGTGGCTGCTTCAAGTGAAGACTCTTCTCCAAAGCCCGAACTTGAACATGTGCCTCAAGGAATAGCCTGTATTATTCAGGGACACATTATTTTAAAACAAACTTTCAAGTCAAAACCAGGATTTTGAAAGTTAAATCACCAAGCAGTTGTGTATGTGTACACACACACACACACACACACACACACACACACACACACAGACACACACACACAGAGACATTTTCACAGTCCTTGAGATTGACATTGTCCTCTCCTGTGTTTCTAGAGCTGGCATTACAGTGCTGTTACATGGACTGGTAGTGAAATGTGTGTAAATGATGCTTTTCAGGCAAAATTTGCCTAAGTGACGGTAAAAGGCTGCTGTGTGCTCGTGTGTTCATGCCATTTCTCCTACAAGGTGAAGATATGTATTAACTGATGTGTTCTCTGTGAACTGGACTGAATCTGTACTGTAACAAAATAAAGCACTCTTTCATGCTATCAGCTGCAGGTGGTTACTGCATATCACATGCATGCAATACCTAAAGGATATTTTTTTTCATTTGCTCAGTAATTTCCAGTTTTTCCTCAGGCTGCATTATTCACCAGTTTGAGAAACAACTTTTTTTTAAGGTTTTCATCAAAGCCTTAGCCTTGCCTTAGCTGGGCTTCAGGCAGCCAAAGTCCGTTATGTCCCAGTTATTCCTATTGTCCGTCTTTTCTCTGTGGAGGGGGAGTTTCCAGCTTCTGAGAAGTATGAATTTTTTGATAAAGTAATTTTTTTTAAAAAAAGAAATTTTGAAAAAGTAAGTTTATTCTGTGGAAATGCTTAATGCATTTAACAATTTAATTACTTAAGAAATGAGATGCTGTCAGGTGCTTTGTACTTGTTAAATATAAAGTGGAATCTCAGGTGTGTGTATGGGGTGACTGCATTGGGGCAGTGGTTGGGGAAGAAGTGTAGTCAAAGCTGCTGTCCTTGTTAATCTCTGAATGAGATCTGGAGTTTCCTCACAGTGGATCTTGCTTTCTCCTGCCCACAGAGCAGCAGCATGGAGCCTGTGCAAAGCTGATGGTAAGAAATGTCTTCTGACCCTGAAGAAAGCTGCTATAGAAAGACAGGAAAACCTGGGTCCCAGGACAGCAGATAGAAATAGGGAAGTAAATACTGATAAATAGTGGCCTTTGGCATTCCCCCTAACCTCCACCTTTCTGTACTTCCAGATAATTTGCTGCTTCAATTTTTTTCTCCCCTGACTCTGGGCTCTGGTCTTCTCTGTTTCTTGTCTTGTTGCTTGGTGACTTCAGCAACAGTCTGGCCAGAAGGACCAGGGCAGTGATTGTCCTCCTGTACTCAGCACTGGTAGTTCTGTGTCCACTTCTGGGCCCCTTAAATCAGTGGGGACATTTGAGATTCTGGAGCCTGTCCAGAGGAGGTGAACACAGCTGGGGAAGTGTTTGGGACATAAATTTTCTGAGGAGCAGCTGAGGGAGCTGGGGATGTTTATTCTGGAGAAAAGGAAGCTCAGGGGGAGCCTTGTCACTCTCTACAACTCCCTGAAAGGAGGGTGTAGCCAGGTGGGGTCAGGCTCTTCTCCCAGGGAACAAGTGACAGGACAAGGGGAAACAGTCTCAAGTTGTGCCACAGGAGGTTCGAGTTGGGCATTGGAGAGAATTTTTTTATTGCAAGGGTGGTTAAGCACTGGAATGGGCTGCCCAGGGAGGTGGCGGAATCACCATTCCTGGAAGTGTTCAAGAAACAACCAGATGTGGCACTTAGTCCTGTGTTTTAGGTGGTGGTTGATTAAAGCCCTTTCCCCTCTGATTTGATTCCCCATCAAAGCCTCGAGGAGCCTCCTCTTTTTCAGGAAATGGGTTTGTCAAAAGTAGCTGCCTTGATGGCTGAACTGAAGCAGCTGGTGGCCTGCTACAGCTCGTAACACCTGGTTTGTTAAGGTGAACACAACCTTGTGCTGATTTACCTTGAAACTTCTCTCTGCCAGCTTCTAAAGCAAGTTATAGTCCATGCAGCAGGGAGAACTTGCAGCTGAGGGTGATGACTTTACTAGTTCTCTAATATAAGTATATTTTGTGAGCCAGTGCTTCAAGGACTTGCTATTTCTCACTCAAACTTTTCCTACAGTGAGAGTGTTCTATACAACAATAATTTTCTCTTTTGGGCTTTCTGCTTGTTAAAAGAGTTGAGCTTGTGTTGCAGGTCAAAGAAGCAGCTCTGTTTGGGTATTTATTTTTCCAAAGGTGTAGACACACATTATTTACAAGGTTTCTCCATGTGTATATTATGTGTTTAAAAGGTAGGAGTGGGAGAAGAAAAAGGTATAATTATACTTACAGTGTGATGGAATAAGCCATTTATTGGCACAATGTACTAAAATGTTTTGGTCTTTCATTTGATTTCTTGATTACCAATTCATCATTCAGTTCATTCTTATCTAGTGCATCTGATGTCTGCTCAAAAAGGGTCTGCCATCATCATGCACTAGTCTTTCAAGATTTGTATTCTGTTGCCCCTTTCTTTTTTACGTTTATTCAGATCTTGTCTTTTTTTTGTCCTTTTGACATGGGATTGGTCTTGAAGGCAGATGTTAAAGAAGACTTTGGTGGTTGTAAAGTGCAATGACAGGCAGTTTATAAGCTTTCTTTGCTACTGCCAGGGCATATTTATAGGTCCTTCTTTGTTTCCTGACTGTTCAAATGAAACCAAATCATGTCTCAACCAGCTTTCAGAATCCCTGTTTAACTCCTTGAACTTCTCAGGACTTCAGAACTTCTGAAGAATACAATTTAAGTCATGAATAGGTTTTGCTGTGCTAAACAGAACAACTTCTACACACTTTTAAAAATCTCAGACCTTGTGTTTTCAGAGAACTTGCAGAAGAAATTTATCAAAACCACATCATTTTTCCAAAAAGGAATCTTATGGTAACCCACTCAGCAGTGGCAGTAAACCAAGTCCTTTGCAGAGAAGTCACACTGTTGCCTGAACAAAAACTGGTCCAAGGGAGCTTCCTGTCCTGGAAAGATTTGGGATTTCTCCGATCATTACCCTTTCTCAGTGTTCCTAAGATCTTACATGGATACATGCTTTATTTCTCTTCACTCCCACTGCATTTGGCATTGGCTATGGGCCAGGGGCCGGGGACACTCGGTGCCCCTCAGGTGATGTGTGAGCCGGTCTCCATCCAGGCAGGCCATGAGCTTCACATCCATGGCGGACCTGAGCGTCCTCCCCTGGAGCCTGCTCTCATAGCCGTCCCGCTCTGTGTGCCAGGGAGACCTCTGTGGTGGGGAATTCATCCCTGGAGAGCAGCAGAGGAGGCGGGCGAGCTGTGCAGTGAGAGTCTGGCTGGTGCCCACCAGTGAACGCGCTGCAGATGTGTCGGGCTGCGCCTGTGCCTGCGTGGGAGGGAGCAGCTGCTGCTCACAAAGGTCCCACTCAGCCCGGAAAGCGCCACGTCACGCGGGCGAGCGGCTCTGCTTGAAACA